CCCATTGCCTGGTTACTTACCTGGCATTGCTCTCGAGTACTCATCTTCAACTATCTTATGCTACCTCATGGAGAAGATATTGGCCACATGAAGCTGCCTGAGGAATAGACAGGGCAAGTGAGAATGATACAAAGGAAGCATGTAGAGACAAGCGTAACAGAACACGTGTCGATACATCCACACATTACTTATGTCAACAGCAAAAGTATCCCATATCATCAAGGTCGAACGTACTCTAGATTTGATGGACTTGTTTTGACCCTCAAATTCTTGAGTCGGCCTTATACTCTGAAGGAAACCAGAAAACCCTTCAGCCCAGTTCAAGAATAAGCCTATGGAAAGTTACTTCTTCAAAAGCAAAAGTATCTCATATCATAACTTCTCCTTTGTCTTCTCTTTATCTTTCCTGCTGCCGGAAAGATAGGGAGAATGAGAACAATCAACCGGAAGCCGAAATCAAACCTCTGATCCTGGGTACTGCTTGCTTGGAAGTCTGATTGCTTACCTTGTCTGTCACCTCTTTCGGCAGATCTCCTAGCTCGGCGACTTGGGGGACTCCTACTATAGGGTTTGTATCGTGCTTGACCAAGCCTGAAACTATAAGTAAGCTTCAAGTGAAATTGATACATTACCTTGTGCATCTCCACCGATTAAGGATACCACATTTGGATGGAGAAAAAGTACTTTCAGAGAAGATGCCACATCTACCTATGAGACAGATAAGGCAAGTGAAAACGATACCACACTTCGGTACTTAGAAGTTTCGTGATTACTCAGCAGCTTGGATCTTGCAAGTCCCCAACCGAGGAGCTTCCCTCACTCGGGAACTTAGGGGAGCACTGTTTGTACCATACTTGACCAATCCCGAAACTATTGAGCACTGGTCAACGTTATACCGTCAAGGACCCAGAAGAGTTTCCCTCCAACCAGGAGGCCAATCACAGTGCGACACGTGTCGACATCAGAAGCCAATCATAGCGCGACACGTGTCAACATCAGAAGCCAATCGCAACACGACACGTGTCAATGTCAGAACAAAGCTATAAACTCTTCTATAAAAAGAGATCATTCTCTCACAATATTTCCGATTGTCATTTGTACTAAATCATTCACTAGTACTCACTAAATTGGAGAGCTTGAACCTATATACTTGTGTAAACCCTTCACAATTAATGAGAACTCCTCTACTACGTGTACGTAGCCAATCTGGTGAACCACATACATCTTGTGTTTGCTTCCCTGTCTCTATCATTTACATACTTATCCACACTAGTGACCGGAACAATCTAGCGAAGGTCACAAACTTCACACTTTCTGTTGTACCAAAGTCCTCACTGATTTTGTGCATCAACAATATATATATACAAAATTGCAAATTTAACTTTATTAAAATTCATATATTCAAATATTACAGTAAAATTAACAGCAAAATGTGTAGTTATATTAAGAAATATACCAAATCACCAAAATATGTAGAGACTTTGCTTCACATTCTAAAACAAAACTCAAGTCCTAGTTCCAATCTTGGTCCTCCAATGATATTCATTTTCTCTGCAATCATTTCTTCAAGAAGACACACATCTTTCTGCAAGGTAATCACACTTTAAATTTGCAGGTGGCTGTAAATGTAGTTGATATTTGAGTTATAAACCCTCATGAATTAGAACCACCAACCAACTATGAGACAAACAAGGAAAAATATAAAGCTTAGAAATCAGAACTCATCACACAAGGCCCATAGATCGACCTGTAAAAAAATTGATCGCTATAATTCAAGGCTTTCCTTTTATATTTCGAACCACCAGGTCATAGATTGAGTTTCTTACTAGAAGAGTATTGTGACATGAAAAATAATAGTCAAAATCTAGAAGGAAAGACACAAAGAAACCTCATGTATTTGTCAAGCATATGAAGATCCATGTGGATGTCTTCCTCTGTGTGTGTGAGAGAGCGAGCGAGGAGAGAGGAGAGTTTTCCATGGGGCTTCCATTATAGTAATTAAGAACATTCAAAACATGCCACTCTAAAATTTTAGGAGAAAGGAGAGTTTGCCACAATAACCATCTAGGTTTGGAGCTCTTGAGGTGAGATCTTCCTAAGAATAAACATGACACTCTAAAATTTTAGGAAATTGTGAACGGTGCACGGCATTGTGAATAAGAAGAGTGTTTTGCTTTTCAAAAAATTATGATTGCGGCTTAAACTATATTGTACCATCCCTTGCATGCTTTCTTTCAATTAAGAACAATTAAGGGCTGGAATTCGTAACTTCAAGTGCCCTGATAACAAGTGTGGAACCCACATAAAGAAATTCCTTTTATACTATAAAATGGGAAAGGCTTAAACAATAACATAGCATGACTAACCACTTGTTGCCAGCTCTCTTGCGTCCCAATCGTTATGGCCTCTGGCTCTGAATGCACCTAAAAGAATTCAAAGGACACACCAAACATACCAAACATAATGACCATCCAAATTTTACCAAAAAAAAAAAACCAGGAATATAAGCATAATAATCACCACAAATACAACTAACCTGTCTTTTCTTTCTTGCACCATTTTTTATATTTGTCCCGACATTTTTGTTCTCTTGATTCTCTCATTCGGAGCCTTGAGAACCATAAGTCTTTTGAAAGATTGGCTCCATTACATTCTGGAGTTTGTTCATTTACTCATAATTATGCAGGAACACTAAACTCCCATTATGCAAACCCAATTTAGCAACCCAACAATTTTCTTTAGCAATTCAACAAGTTGGGACAATCAAAGACTTAAATTTTTTATTAGTCCCAGGACCAAAAATAAGCATAAAAATCAAAGAATTAAACTTGGCACTAATTTACTCAACAATCGTAATCAGATTTCTCATTCCCTAAATTCAACAACTCATCCACCCAGCTCTTCCGCTGCGGCACCACAGCTCCAACACTCCAAGAAATCCCTGCAACTCCGCGATTGTCAATTCTGCATAAACCAAACACAACCCATCATCAAAACCAACCCAAAAAACCCAATAAAACCAACAAATACTAAAACTTTAAACCAAAAACAAGAAACCTAAACGACATGCTACTCAGAGGACAATAGCGGAGCTAGGAATTTTTTACCGGGTGGGCTAGTTTAAAATTTTAAATCTTTTTAAATAAAGAAACTTGATACCCTATTTCTCATAGTATCAGCTAGCTTAAAAAAAAATCACAAGGTGAGCCAAAAACGTGTTAAAATTAAACAAATCCAAATTTGTACATGTGCAAGAAGCGATGAGAAAAATAATGTAAGAAAAAGAGATGGTTTGCAAACTGTATTATATAATTTTATATAGTTAAACCTAGAGAATTCGAATTAGCGACTAAATATTTGGTGGGCTACATTTGAAAATCAATCAAAATTACATGTAAATTTTATTTTTCACCACAAGCTACCTGGGCTACAGCCCAGGGCAGCCCTTAACTTGGCTCCGCCATTGCCGGATGAGCATCAGCACCAACAGCGTCGAGCTCGTCGGCGTTCTTGTTCAGAGGAAGGAGGAGAAAGCCGGCAATTTTCTCCTGTCTTTCTCGCGCCTTCCCCCCCCCCCCCCAAAAAAAAATCTCGAGACAAAGCAATCTATTCATCTTTGTAGTTTAGGGTCGGAAAATCGTCGACATAAGCGAATTAGATGAGACCTGGTGGTTGATGGCGTCTAAAACTGTAAATAGGGTTTGAGATCTGAAATTTGGGCATTTATTATTAGGGTGTGATATCCACACACCATTTTTTACTTCTCACACACTCCTCTAATTCTCGGACGTCGGATCGAATGAATTGAAGAAGATCAACGAACAAAAATTAACAAAGGGTGTGTGAGAAGTAAAATGGGATGTGTGGATAGCATATCCCTATTATTATACTAGTTGATTTTAAAAATAAAAAAAATTAAATTACAAAGATAACAATTATAGTCCGTCATAAATTAAAAAAAGCGCTGTTGTTAAAACTTTTTGCAATCACAGGCTTTCCTCGTGGTAATATTTAGTTAAATTACAACGGGCCTTAAACGCGCGTTGTTATTTTAATCATTTCAATCACGGGTTTGTTTATGCCCGTTGTTATAATAATTATTTACCACGAGCTTCAAATGTCCGTGGTTAAATTTAACTTTTTATAACGGACTTTATACGTTCACGGTCAATTAGCCGTGATGGATGTAGTGTTGTGGCGTAGTGTTGGTACCTTCAATGGGGCACAGATCCAAACCTAAATACAAGACTCCATGAGATTGTGACACACGGTGATCCAATGGCATGTAAGCCATAAGCTAGGAAAGAAACTAATTGGTGCACTTGGCATGTATATGAGCTCAAGGTACAACCCTACACACTGCCACACAAGGAACTAAGGACAAAAGTTTTAAAATTTAAACTTCGCTTCAGTACGCTAATAAACACCAACAATAACAACATGCACAGTGAACCTGAGGCCAACCAAACCCCCCTCTCTGACACTGGCAACGGCCGCCATGGACTTTGGGCTGCATTGGAACACCCTTCGGATCCGAGTCCACAGATCAAGATATTCTCGACTCCATTGTCTTTGAAAATTCCTTCTACTCTTTGATGCTTGATTGATAGAATAACGAGAAATTTTTCATTGTGATAAGAATGTGAGTAGTACATCACTGTTTTTATATAAATGATGAAAAATTTTATTTTTTTAATTATTAACTTTTTAACACACATATTTTATCATTTATATAATAACAAATGATGGTGTACTTGTAATCATTCAAATGGAACAGTGGACGCGATATAGACTTGACTATATATTTCTCCGGTAGCCAACAATATTGAATACGCGGTCGGAGTGAACGAGTCAACTCGTTGGATAAGTATATATTTGGTAGACGACTTTGAAATATATATATAATACTTGTATTACTTTGACAAATCCTGGGTTAAACTGATTGAGAGAAAAACGATAGATTTAGCTACATTCATCTGCCTTGTTCATATTGATATAATATGGCACTATCCTTCTCCATTAAGAATGCGACCACCACGACATACAGAACTTTCATAGAAGCTCTGCGAGCCCAACTAACAGCCGGAGGATCCACATCACATGGGATACCGGTGCTGCGTCGGAGACAAGATGTGAAGGATGACCAGCGCTTTGTTCTTGTTAATCTCACCAACTACGACAGTTATACAATAACTGTCGCAATCGATGTGGTGAACGCTTACGTTGTGGGTTATTGTGCCGGTACTCGTTCCTACTTTCTTCGAGATCCTGCAACTCATCCGCCTCCACTCCATAGATTATTCCCCGGCACCACGCGGACTACACTGCCCTTCGCCGGGGACTACCTCGGGCTTGGCCGAGCTGCCCAGGAGGCACTACAACAGAATACAAACCGTAACCGAGCAGCAGGGTCACGTATCCATGAGAACATATCTATGCGTGAGCGGATCCCGCTGGGGCCCGGAGAACTAGATAACGCAATAAGCCAGTTGCGCTACGCAGAATCTGCATCCTCCCAAGCCGCCGCGTTTATTGTGATTATTCAAATAGTCTCTGAAGCCGCAAGGTTCCGGTACATTCAGGGACAAGTCCGCGACCGCATTCGTGACGGAACTTCCGCTGAGCCGGACCCTGCAATGCTCAGCCTCGAAAACAGTTGGTCTAATCTGTCCGAGCAGATCCAGATGGTACCGGCCAATCAATTACTCTTCATCAATAATGGGTCTGTTCAGATCCGAAAAGCCGACAATAGTATTGTCCTAGTAAAGAGTGTTGACTCAGACGCCGTTCGCGGTGTCGCGTTCCTGCTTTACTGCGGAGGCAACCCTCCTGCACCGAACAGTGAGAGTGCCCGGACGTCCAAGGTTACTGTTCAGAAGCCAACCCTCGCCAAGAAGAAGAAATAGACGGCCCACTGTATCCCATCTATAATTGAATGGATTTTTTTTGGGTGAAGATAACTGAATGGATTTTTCTTGCTTTTAAGTTGGTCAGCTTGCGGTGACAAAAACCTATTGTATCCCATCTATAATAATATACTACTACAGACAAAGATGTCTCATTTCGCTGCAATTTCAAGTAGGATTTTTTTTCTTGGATTGTATATGAAAATACCCTAAAAAAGGATCGATCCAAAATAATTGGTAAGTTTGGAACAAAAAAATAATCGATAAGTTGGTGGACAAAATATTCATCCGATTATTAAATATTTTGTTGATACCTTTAAAAAATGTTATAAAATCAATTCGAACAATTAACAATCAATTTTGTTTTTCTTAATTATCAGTGTTGGATCCATTTAAATTTGAAATTCAACAGCCCATAATACGTTAGTTAAGAAGAAGTTAGTGGACTGAACTCTTGGATCACTTTCGACCAAAAAAAAAAACTCTTGGATCACTCTCCACCTCGAGTGTGCAAGACAAAAAAAAAAAAAAAAAGGGGTATTATCACAAATGGTTTCTGAAATTTACCCTCGTCATCAAAATGATCACTGAACTTAAAAATCAATCAATATAGTCCCTAAAAATCGGTTCGCAAATCAATATGGTCATTCCATCACAATTTTGTTAAAAATTCCGTTTTAGTGTTAATGTGGCACATAATGGGCCCCACAAGATTTACTGATTTTTTTTTATCACAAATGGTCCATGAATTTGACTCATATCATCAAGATGGTCCCTGAAATTGACCTAAACCATCAAGATGGTCCCTAAAATTGAAAATCAATGAATGTAGTCCTTGAAAATAGGTTTCGCGAATCAATATTATCCTTTCGCCACAATTCTGTAAAAAAATTTGTTATATGCTGATGTGGGTTTAATAATTAATTAAAAAAGTTGTCTAAATATACCTTTTTACACAATGGAATTTTTTTTTTCTTATAGTAGGACCTACTCCGAAGAGTGATCCCTTCCATAAATTCTTAAATGCACAAGGCTTAACCAAGGCCTAAGATGGGGTTTCAAAATAGTTTTCAACCAACAATAGACGCACCTCAGTTATAACCTCATTATCTCAAGGCAAACCTCGTCGTTCTTTGAGTCACCAGACCACCAGGGAAGTCCCAAACAAACTCTCCAAGATTAAGGTTGTGAGGATGTTGGTTGCCTAAAGTTAATATTGATGTCCCAAAAGTTGTTGCCAGTCAGCCAAGCTATCACCAAAGGCAATCTCAATCCAGGTTCAATTCGATGAAAGGTATAGAAATGTGTGAAGATAGGTGTATTGAGATTTTTTCTTAGAGGATAAACAGCGAAGGAGGTAGAGGAATCTGGACTAGGATCGGAGATGATTGTAGGACTGGATTTTTTGGTTCACTACTTTTTATTAACTATTAAATTATTAAACCTATTTGTAATTTTTTTTAAATTTAATTTGACTTGTGTGATCCATTTATGTGTCACATCAGCATATAACAGAATTTTTGACAAAAATGCGTCGAAATGACTACATTGATTTGGGACACTTGCTTGTGGGACTACATTGATTGATTTTCAATTTCAATGACCATTTTGATGTTGCAAGTCAATTTCAAAGAACCATTTTGATGTCTCGAGTCAATTTCAATGATCATTTGTGAGAAAAAAAACACTTATGGCACCCATTTATGTGCCACATCAGCACTTAATGAAATTTTTAACAGAATTGCGATGGAAGGACCACATTGATTTGCGATACCTATTTTTAGGAACTAAATTGATTGATTTTCAATTTCCGAGATTATCTTGATTATGAGGGTCAATTTCATGGATCATTTATGATAAAAATCCAAAAATAAAAATAAAAATGTGAATGACATCAGCCTTGCATCATGTGCTTCTTGAGTACCAGGGCCAAATCTGCCTCGAGAACTACCTGGGCTTTGTGGGTTTCACAACCTACTTGTCCACTTGTGGAGCTGGGTTTTGGAGAAAAATGTTCGTTTGCCTAGGCATTTGAATATTGGTGGAGTTGCTCTAATCCTCCCATTCAACATATATTTTGATATGAGGAAATCCCTCTTTGTAATAAAATATATACGTAGGCAGAAATAGAAATAGGTGAATACTTATACAGTTTATACTTCAAATATATATAGAAAATTGTTATTAGCACTTCAAAAATCTAAACAATTGTTATGAAAGTTGTTGAGTCTATAACCAGACTTCTGAGGTAAGCATGTTTCAATCCGTCTTACTTCGACTCTAGAAAATCATGATCCTACATTTCTCTTCAATCTATTGTGTTTCTGTTGAAACTCTCTCTGATGTAAAAAGTAACATTGTTTTTTTTATGGAAACTAAAAGTAACATTGTTTGTGTTAAAAAAAACCTTGAGAATTTGGCAAGGCTTTCAGTGCATGGGTTTGGCCTTTTCATTGGAGCTAATTTATTAGACGTGTCTAGGATTTTGCCTCTTAAGTTTGCTTGGTATATAAATAAGGTTCTAAAAAGACTGGGTGCGTGTCGGGTGTGGGCAGTAGTTTAGGTAAGGTTGGAGGTGGGTTTTCACTTTAATTAAATTTATTACATAACAATAAAAATATATAAATAGGTGACTACTAATAAAGTTTATACTTCAAATATATACGTAGGAAATTGTTATGGGTACTCTACAAATCTAAAGAATTGAGCCAATAATGAAGGAAATGGATCCTCTCCGGATCATTTCCTCCTAATCCACTAAGTTCGGGGATCCGAATAATTGAAATTTGATCCAACGGTTATAAACAGGGATTTACTTTAAAAGTTATAATAACTTTAGCCGTTAGATCAAATTTCAATGGTCTGGATCCCTAAACTTGATGAATTAAAAGGAATGGATCCGGAGATGATCCCTTTCCAATAATGAACATGTATTGAGAGTTATTTCGCAGAAACACTACTCTAAAGTGATTTTACATCTTCAAACCCCTTAACCTAAAAATAATTAAATACAATAAAAAGTCGAACTGCCTAGAACCGGCCAAGGATCTGCTGTCCCCAATTTCATGTCTCCTTTGTGTCTCTTTATTAGTTTTTTGACATGTGTCTCCCCATTTGATTCTAAAATTAACACCGCTAAATCGCAGAAATCACCATTCACGCCCAAATCGCAGTTCAATCAGCTCTTCGTATTAATAGGTAAATGGCAGCAAATCGATTTTTAATCCTTCTATGGCTGCAAATTGATGTTTAATCCTTCTATGGCAGCAAATCATTGTTTAATGGGGAGTCCTAATTAGTTCACACCCAAGTGTAATCCTATATGGCAGCAAATTGACCTCCAATCGCAGCCGCGATTTGAAGCGGTATGAGAAGAATCCCAGACAAGATTAAGACATTGAAGGTGGTCGTGCAAGGGAAGGAAAAGGTTTTGGAAATCAAGGGCTTTGACGACGACGGTGAGGACGAGGAGGCAGACTTTATTTGACTGTTCGTTTTTTGGTGCGGTTGCTGGTGTTTATTTGACTGTTCATGTTTTTTTTTTTTTTGTAATTATGTGGTTTTCTTTCTTTCAATTAGTTATATTGTTAATTTTAAAGTTAAGTGGGGAGACACGTGTCAAAAAACTAATAAAGAGACACAAAAAAGACATGAAATTGGGGACAGCAGATCTTTGGCCCCTAGAACCACCTACATGGTCACCTAATCGCTTCCTAGAGACTTTATCGATTTCCTAAATGCCCAAGTTCTAATCGCGGCGCCCAGCCTTCGCTTAGAGCCTAAACAACCGCCCAAAACCGCTTTTTCGAACAGTGTATTAAGAAGATATTCCTGATAAATGTAGACCAAATGCATTGATAGAATTCTAGATGATGATATTCTTTTAAAATGGTATTAGGTACAATGCATCGCAGTCGAAGTCAAGAAAGGGACTATTAGTTTGGAGCCAATAGAGATAGAAACGATAAAGGAAGCATATAGGCTTAACCCACGTAGAATTAATCTCTCCCTCCACAACGTGGCCGGTTAAGAAATGGTATACATCCGTTTTCGGTGCTAGTTTTTGAAATTTGTTAAGCATCTATTGTTTTGGAAGAGAACCAACGGTTTTGAAGATGTACATGTGTTTTCATGCACAGGCGTAGTGGAGAAATGGTCAGCTTGTAGTATCATTTGGTCTCGCTACTAAATTAAATACTTTGCGCAACGAGGGAGTATTTGTCGCACAAAGTATTTCTAGGTTGCGCAAAACTTATGGCGACACAGAAACCGTCGTGCAAAATTTGTCTCACAAAGGTCGTGAAGAAAGACATTACGCGATAAATAGTGCACATTTGTCGCGCAACTAAACGTTTGCACGACGCTTTACTGCTCATCGCAAGAAAGGTATATGGACAAAGGCTTTCGTCGCATGATATACGAGGGTACAAGTGTGCTTTGTGACGAGAAATTTCTGGGGACGTCTACAATTTGTCTCGAAAATGTTTGATCAACGAAACATGTAAGACGCACGTGGTTTTGCACGACGACATATCTTCGTCGCACAAGTGTAAGTTTTAATAAATAAATAAATAAATAGAACAAAAGGAATATTATTAAAAAAATATATTTCATACAATTGACAGAAAAAAAATTTTAATGAATAGAAAAACAATTTATTTATAACATAAATAAAAATGTACGTACAAATACAAAGTTTAAAAAGAAAGCAGGAAAAAAACTGCAAAAAAATGAGGAATAATCTATGGGCAAATCATTCGGAGGTGCTTGGTAATCTTGCTACTGGAAGGGGGTGGGGTTGGGGACGGATTCGAAGGTTGACGGGTCTGATTGCTATGTATGCTTGGGGTGGAGGGGCTCTGATGACGGTGGTGTAGAAAAATCGGGGAGACGGATCCCAGAGGAACTAAGGGCTTGTACAATCAATGACATATGAGTCTTGTACAATGCGAGCTCACTCCTCTGGCCAGCAACTTACTACATCAAATCCGTAACCTCGC